AAAAACAAATGCGTAAATGTGAAATGCTGATAGTAAGATACAGCTGAAATTGGAGCAAATTATTTAATGCATTATGGGATCATTTGGGTTGTTTCTCCAAAATTGTAATATCCATTGTATTTTTAAGCAGAGGTGATGGGAGAGGGTAGTAAGAACTTATATATAGGTAATCCTCAGAATATTGTTTTATTAATTAGGTTATTAATTCTCTTTAATTTGTATTTAATAAAATTTAATAATAAAATTATGCTATAGTATACTACATGTCTCGCGGTTACAGGGAGATAAAATGGTTGTATTTTAATCTAGTGTGACTTTGGTTTTTAGGAGCTGAATGATCTGGCACGTGATCCTCCAGCACAGTGTTCAGCAGGGCCTGTTGGAGATGATAGTAAGTACCTGTAAAAGGAAAAGAGCTCAAATTGGAATTTTCTTGGGCAGTGAGAAGTAACCTAAATATATTCATATTAGATTATTTTTAAAAATGCAAAACATTCTAAGTCAATTAGTGCCATCAGAGTAGCATATACCATAATAACACATATCATCACCCATTGCTGGTTCAATCAACTTGGAACCAAAACATCTGGTTAATAAATAGCACTGAAACCATCTACTTCCACTTTTCCTAAGGCAGGTAAAATAGATTAGATAATTTCTCTTCTTAAAAGACTTATAGAAGAATCCCTAATTTTGATCTTGAGCAATCACAACCTTATATCTTAAAGCTGTCCCCATTAAACTAATTTTGTACAGGTGGTCCTCGGGTTACAATGGCAATTGGGACTGGGATTGCTGTCCCTGAGTGATGTTGTAAAGCATGATATCACATGACCGTGACACATCACATCTCAGCGACAATAATCTAGGTAATCCTGGTTGCTATTGTAACCCCAAGACACAGAGGAAGCGGTGGGAGTCCCAGGTAAGGACCATGGGGTGCTGCAGGGGGTTGGGGGAGGCCCTGGGAGACCCAGTGCAGACCATGTGCAAGTTATGGGAGGGGATGCTGCAGCGTGGTGGCTGAGGGAAGGAGAGCGCGGGTGCATGCAAGCACAGGAGGACTGAGGGAAAGGGTGCGGATGCGTGCTAGCACAGGAAGGTGGTGGTGGGGACTTACCAGAATGACTTGGAACATTCCCTGCCAGCTTCCCCATCAACTTTGCTTGTGGGAAGCTGGCAGGGAAAGGTCGCAAATGGTGATCACATGACCATGCAATGCTGCAACTGTCAAGTGCAAGCAGGTTGCCAAGCACCTGAATTGCGCTCACGTGACCACGGGGGGTGCTGGGACGGCCAGAACTTCGAGGACTGGTCATAAGTATCACTCAGCACTGTTGCAGCTTCAAATTGTCACTGAATGAGTGGTTGGTAAGTGAGAACTACCTGTATTATAAAGGCAAGCATAGTGGGTAACTGGAGATGTCTGGATATGTTTATAATCACAAATCCGTTGTGAGTTGTAGTGTAAAAGCACTTCTTCAGGAGTTACCTTTTCATATATCAAAAAGCAGTCATCTCTGTCTTTCAGAACAGGAACATGCAGTGTCAAGCATTGAATAAAATACACATATATTGTGACTCAAACTGAACTTTAATTGCCATTTCAGTGGTAGTTTAGCATATGGGAAGATACATTTCATGGATATTGCCTACATTAGGTGTGTTTGTTTTTCACATTAATATAGCCACCCATCTCACATAGCATTACATAAGCCGGACTTTAAACTGAAATTGTGAGCAGTTTTGATGCCTGGGATCTGCATTTGCCCCATATACTTAAGATGTGTCATGTGTACTAATTGCCGGGTCAGCAAAACCTATTAATGGTGGCAGGGAGACAGTGCTAACATCATGCTAAGTCACAACATGGTTTAGCAACAAATCATCAGTGTGCTGGAATATACTAGTCTGATAGCACTCACTGGCACCTCTAAGTCAGACATTAGTAAACAACAGATGTCCCTGGTTTCTTTAGCATGTTGCAAAAAACATGGACTATGACTTCTTTTCAGAACTTGCCAGAGGAAGAGGCACTTTCCCTGGCTTCTATTTCTGTTTGTTCCTAGAAGAAGTAGCCTCACTCCCTAGCTTACAAGATACACTTTAAATAGACCATGGATGAAATTGGTCATAATCTAGGAGCTGCATTGCATGTGGGAGGAGCCCTTAAATGTAATCAGAATACTAGCACGCTACTTTGCCGTTAAGCCACATTATGGCTTAATGTGGCTAAGATTGTAATGAGAGGAACTTCAGTCTTAAGTATCTTAGTCAAGCTTTTGCTTTCTTTTTTCTTCTAGTGTTCCATTGGCAAGCAACAATAATGGGACCAGTAAGTAACCCTCCAGTTTTAAGTATGATACAGGTAAATGTCTCATATCATCTTCTAATAGCTTTGTCTTTTCAGAATGACAGTCCCTATCAGGGTGGGGTGTTCTTCTTGACAATTCACTTCCCAACAGATTACCCCTTCAAACCGCCTAAGGTGAGTAACTTTTTAAATACCAACATTGTTGATATATCTTATGCTGGGTATGGCAAACCAAGAAAATATGTTATTTTTAACAGGTTGCATTTACAACAAGAATTTACCATCCAAATATTAACAGTAATGGCAGTATTTGTCTTGATATTCTACGGTCGCAGTGGTCTCCAGCATTAACTATTTCAAAAGGTAAGCAAATGGGCTTTTATTGGACATGAATAGTAACATGATATATAACAACATATATATTTCTAGAGACAGTGATGAATATGCATTTGTCCTTATTGTTCAATTTCCTACTTGCAACCAACTCAGAATTTAAAGCACCTAGATCTGATTCCACCAAAGTTTATGGAATTAGATTTTAATTATGTCAAATCAATTTAGTTTTGTCTTGGTCCCATGTATTTCTTTGTTCTGGTTTTGTGAGCTTTGGTCTAGCAAAGGCCAAATGCAGCACTCAACCCCTGCCCTAAAGCAGGATCTAATTTAATAAGTTTCACTTCTATTTTGCAAATAAAACATTGTAAGCATTCAGTATTAATTAAATGAATTGTTTGAATATCTTTTTTTTTTTTAAAAAAACCCTCTAATAACCAGAAATACTTGAATTGAAATATTAAATTAGAAGAGAAAGAAAGCAATAAAGAGTATTTTTGTGCGTTAAATCTTCTGTTAAAATAAATTCTAAACTCTGTTTAGTAATTATTTTATTATCAAATATTCAAAATATGTAATTGTTTTAAAAAACGCAGCAACAGTTGTACGTGTGTGCACAAAACGGCACAAATGCATTTTGTGTCAAGTTCAGAACAAGAGAACTTTACTTGAAACGTTCTGTTGGAAAATATGGAAACTTAGGACCAGCTATTGCTTCCTTGTTTTTCACCCAGGGCCACAAGAGAAGATGGCTTATAGTCAAGCTCAATATAGCTAACCCCCTATATTGCAAAATACTTTAAAGTTATTTTTGAAAACTTTAAAATAAATCATCATGAAAAACAGTATGAACAGAGTTCTGCTCTTACTGTGGAAAATTGATTTAGATTTGAATCTTTTATTAACACCATCGTTAGGGAGAACAAGCAGAAGTTTTTCTGAGTTGGCAAACAAATACTTTGAGGCTCAGCCATAGATCATAGAAGAAAGACAGCAGCTAATCTCTAACATCCCTTTCAATTAGCATATCTCTTCTCTAACATTTTCTTAATGTTTTGATTTAAAAAAAAACCACTAATTTCTTTGGCCAAGCTTTCTGTAGACACTGACACTCACTTTTTTAGCAAGACCAAGAAAACAGATTTGACATGCTCTGGAGTGTGGTTATGGGGTGTCTTGTTAAAAGGTTAAAGATACTCATTTGTTTAAGGAAATCTACTTCCCCAAAAGCATGCCACTTGCAACCACCAAGTTTTCTTTGATTTTTAGAGCAAAATCCAAGCTTGAAGCAAGACTCTTAAAATACATATTTATATTCTTTCAGAATTATGAAAAATATGATGGCACTTACTTACTTTATGATTTACAGTGAAAAACCAAAATGTGGTAGCACTGAAATTCTGACAGTAACCATTTGACTGACAATTTATCAGTTCATTATACTGCAAATTTATTGTAGAAAATGTATAGTAGTGGGAAAAGTCCCACCCCTAATTTTCTGATAGCATTCCACTCATTTAAAATTTGTTTGATCTACAAAGGATGGGAAAGGCAAGACTATATAGATGAGACCTGTAAATGAGCTGTGATATGCATATCTGCTGTGTGCATGCTTAGGTAAAGGAAAATGTATGCTTAAAATACAGGCATGTTGATTGAAATATTGCAGTCTTGATGTGAATATATTTCATTGAACAAACTCAAACCTTGCTTTATTAAGATTCCAGATTGCATGAGCAGGGTTGCATGCATAATCCTTGACTCATTTTTAAGCTTTCAGGTATTCAGATAAACTTGTGGAGAGGATCTAATAGAATTGCAGTAGCATTATCCATCAGTTGTTGCATATAAAATGTGCATTCTAAATTGTTCTTGTTGGTTGTAATTCTCTAGCTTTCTAAAGCTTGTAATATGACAGTAGTATTGCACGTTGGTCTTATATTAATCACTACACGTATGAATTATAGGACTCATGTTGTACAGCTATTATACAACTCATTGTCATACCATAATATTTGATGTATACTCTCCTAATAACAGTTAAAATTTAAAGCAAATTTCAAACTCTAGAGAAAAAAAACAATTGTTTTATCTTGTATTATAATGTTATGTTTTATTTTAAAGAAAAAATATGTTAAGAATATAAATTTAAAAATCTTGTAGTTTCTGGGACATTCAGTCAGACAGTGATGTCATCAAGCTTTGGTTATCTGTATATATTTATAGAATTAAGTTGTTTTATTTACCTTTAAAAATGATTACTTTTATTGGCACTATTAAGATCTGGTCTAGTCTAGTTTTACAGTTGTGACCTTGTTTATTTAAATATCTTTGACATGTAACACCCTCTCCTTCCTTACTCCAACTCTTATACAATAGAAATTCTTACTCTCTGGTGCTTGGAGGCATCCAAATATGGGTTAAACTCTTCTACTGCTTAGGAAAGAAAGAAAATCACATAGTTAAAGTCAACTGTTAGTGCTTCCATGCTCTTCTCATTTTTTTTCCTGCCTTTGCCCAAGACAGACATACTGTATGTGTTTTTTCACCCTGTATCGCCACATTTCAGTCCTGATAGCTCTGATTCTCCAAACAAAAGCTGTACATTTTTCTAATCTCTTGTACTTCGCATCTCTTTTGATAGCTCCTGGAAAAGACTGTTCTAGAGTACAGTTCTTGCAAGGATTTTTATTTACTACATCAGAGTAGTCAGACTAGTGACAAAAAATTCAAACAAAACTTTAAGTCACAATCAAGGACCTAGTGTACAGTAGTCTAACTTGCAAAAGTCAGTGTGCCAATGGAATTTGGTACTTAATGCTTAGTAAAGCGCTCTGAAACTGTCCATGCTGTCATGACTCTTAATCTGATGTTGGGTGTCCCACCTTGCATAAAGAATCCTAATTCTAATGTTTTGGGAAGGAGTTCTCCAGCCTTAACTATCCCTGCCTTTGCAATAAAATCAGGCACATCTTCTCAACTTCAAGCTGACCAATAGGTGGCAGTACCTCACCACTTGAAGGTTGGAAAAATCCAGTTAAGTGATTCTGCTCAGATCTATCTAACATTTTAGCATGGTTTTTTATGGTAGGTTGTCCCTGGGCCTGGTGCATCGCTGTCCTCAGTAACTTTCTGGTACGTAGATAGTTAGAATCAAACCAGTTTGAACTTATTTGCTGTTGATTTCTGGTGGAGAGTTTACCTGTTAAGAAGTTTCTCAATGAAAGACACAGATCAGCATAAAGGTAGTCCCTTGGGTAAGAATGCCTGGTTTACAGACAACCCATTGTTAAGAACAGAGCCTATTGTAGTAAAATTCAAGTTAAATACACAATGATTCAAATTAAATACACAATGGTTTGGGTTAATTACACAATACTTCTACAGTATTAAACAATAATATTGTTCTGGCTTACTTACAAATTCAACTTAATGACAGACCTTGGGAATGGACCTTGTTCTTAAGGGACTACCTGTATTGAGTCAAGATTTTATCTGGACCTTGGATAGGAGAAGAAATTGAGTTTCTCCAAGTCTGGGCCTATTCTGAGTTCAGAAAGGTGGATATTGCCTTAGTATCTACCTTAGCCCAATTGAGCCTTCTATTCTACCTCACTTCGAGATTAGCTAGTAGCCTCTTATCATGAGGCATGGGTAATCTAGTATCAGATCTGCCTTGGAAATGGACTGTGGTTGGTGATCGCTATCCTCCCTCACATGGGCTTGGATGTCTGAAAACAGCCTAGTCTTGTTTCATGTAACACATATATAGTCTAAAACACTGCTAGAGTTTCCTGAATGGTATGTAAAAGAATATATAAAACCAGGTTCTTTATCTCCTAAAATGTGGAGGTTACATTTATAGATCAAGAAGACCAGTTGTGAGCCTGCCGTATTTCTTTTGGGGTCTCTAGAGAATTTGTATGAAAATTTAACAGCTAAGTAATGGGGAGAGTCATCTCTGAGGACCAGTTCCTGTCCTTGCGAGCCCAGCTTTGCCTTGGCAAGTGTAGTCAGTTTTCCTGATACCCGCCCTTTAGTCTTGTATTTCCTTGCAGGAATAGTCCAGGATCTAAAATCTGGTAAATGAACCTTTTCCTCATCTGTGGTCAGCCATGTCTCCTGGAGTGCTATGAAGTCAAAGTCAGAGAGGAACTCCACCAGGTCCCCATCTATTGCTCTGTTCTTCCAACCAGCGACATTCCAAGTCAGTAACTGGATAGAACCCTTGTGTTTAATATCAGTGTGGGTGATTGGGAAAGTATTGGAATTTTGGGTTAAAAAACATAAGTCTTTCAGTCATTCAGCGGGAGTGATGTTATCCAAAATTCCTTCGGTGTTGGGAAAAAAACACACTGGTTTGAAATTTGTCTACCTTCACCACTGCCTTGCTGTTGTATGAATTCCGACAGGTTTTGAGGTGATCAGCAATTTGGGTGGGGTACTTTTGTAGGTTGGCAACTCAGAATAGTATCAATATCCAGAAGGGATGCCTTACCCCTAGGTGATGTTGATTTTCCTGCCTCAAGTTCTCTCCTTAACCCATTTTGAACTGCTTTGTGAGCTGTAGCCCTAATAAATGATTTGGGGCTTGTGTCTATTTTTAAAAGTATTATGCTAAGGGTGTCCTCCTTGTAACTCCATCCTACTCCATGGCCAACCTTAGTAACTCACAAAGATTTGGGCTGCATGGTGCTTTCTCTTGTCTATCAGCCTCAATTTTGTTTCCATTTCTTACATTTTCCATGTGGTGTAGTATTTATCAGGAAGAAGGGAAAGTATGGCAGAAACTACTCCCAAGGACACTTTATTGTTCTTTTCTGTGTCTATATTCCATGTTAAAATAGGAGGTGAACCAGCAGATGGTTTCTCAAGATAGGTACTATGTTCTTGAGCAGTTGGGGTGACCAGCTCTATTAAAATTTTAGCATCTTTATGTGTGATTGCTAATAATTCCCTCAGATCATCAAGCCTTTTTATAATACCCACTTATTCAGTATCTGGCGAGGTACTTAAAGAGTTAATAAGGTTTGTCTCTAAGGGTTCTTCAGAAAACTGAGTTGCTGTGGCAGGTACAGATTGTTTACTCAGGCTGTCTCTTGTCAAGGACAGTGGTGATAGAACATTCTTGGAGTTACCTACTTTTATGTTGTTACAATTAAACTTTGAAAGCACTGTTATTGCCAAGCTGAGTTATTAATGAGCTAACTCCCTCTGTGTGAAATACATGTAATGGGAAGATCTCAAACTTGCTCACAAAAGGCTTCATTTTGAACAACATGCTGACAATAGTAGGATGTTTAAAGGTTAGAAGGATTTGTTTAGAGTCTCTCCTGGATGGAAGCTATTCAACCTTCTGCAAATCAATCAGTTGCCTTTCACAGTGTAGAAGCTGACTAACGGAGAGAACACTTCTGGATTCTCATTTTCCTCTATTTACTGTGTTATTTTGGCTTTGTAGAGTGATCTGATTTGGCTGTAAGTAACAGTTATGATTTAATTGCTTTTCGTCCAGTACTTCCTGGGAGGGTGGTACTTGCCTTGCACACTCCCCTGGATGTAGGTTTAGATCTCTTAATTTATTCCTCACTATCTTTTTACGTTCCAAAATAGGATCTACCTTTCTACCACTATTATCTGTTTTGAGCCACAGTTGTCTCTGGATGTGCTTGTTTTGAGTGACACAGCAGTAGTGTTTGGATGACTGTATTTAAGCTTAAGAAAAGTCTCTTTTAAAGTGTCTATTTTGTTGTTAACTGTGGTTAGAACCTCAAAAATTGGCAATACTGTTTGTGCCATCGGTAGGCATTGTCTGATTATAAAGCGAGTAACATTTTCATTTTTTAAGTCCTCAGACCCTTGTTGTATAAGCCTTGCAGCAGCTAGACAGATGGCTGTGATCTGTGAGGGTGGGGGCTTCCTCAGGCATAGAAGCAGAAAGATCTAAACGTTGGGAGCTCTCTATCTCCACTTATAGATCCCATTCCAAAGGGTCATATCTGTTAGAGAGGCTATCAGGGAGGGATGGGGGGCTGGTTACTTATAGCAAGTAGCTGTTTGCTTTTTAGACATCTGTCAACTTTGAGCTGTTTGGTAGGCTTGAGTGAAGTCTGAGAAGCAGAATGTGAGTGCTGCCTCTTCCTTTTCCCCATAGCAGAAATGGTAAAAATATAGGGCTCCAGCAGAACAAGAATAAAAAGAAAATGAAATTAAAATAAAGTGGAATGGAATAAAAATGAAAGAGCTAGTTAAAAATTAAAAATTGGCTTTAGAGGGAGCTCTTAATAAGAGATGCTGCCTTGATGCCATCTTTCTTAACCGACTGCTGGACTAGATGGGCCAGGGGTTCAATCCAGCAGTGTACCGCTTATGTTCTTGAACTGATTGTGGCAGGATATAAATTTAATTAATTAATTCTGGTCCATTCCATTTTTTTATATAGCTGCACATCTCACTACCATGACTCTGTTTTACTTGTTCCAATCCTTCAGTTATCTGACAGTAGTTCCCAAACAAGCAAGATAAGCCATCATTCTGATGACCCCCATTAACCATTGTTAGGAAGATTAAAGTACTTCCTCCCAGTCTCAGAAGCCTCAACCAGAGATTCCTGGGAAGTGAGCACTGCTACCTTACAGTGAGGCCAGAAACTGAAGAGGCAGTTAACTGCTGCATGTAGATGCCATGGAACATATACTAGCAGAACAACAGTTCTCAGGACTGTTACTGACTTGGCCAAGACAATGCGTTGTGCAGAGATACCTGGGTTCCTCTTCAAAAAAAGCATTCCCTGTCTAGAGAACTGTCTTGACACTTAAGGACAAATTTCCCAAAAGAATTCTAGAGATTTAGAAAGTTATCTGCCCATTTTGGAAAAAGAACTAAGAGCTGCTTATGCATTTTGGAAGTACACTGGGACTGTTAGTATCCTGTTTCAGCCTTTTAACATACAACTTCATAGTTGGGCACTCCAGTGGCTTCTGCTTCCTTTTCAAATTCATAGATGCACAGTGCACTCCAGTCTTCTTCACGGAGGTCTGAATCTCACTTTTCTGGTGGTGCTCGACAAAATAATTGTTCAAGAGGTTTCCCTTTGTAGAGCTTGCCAGAATCAATAGCAACTGATACCAGTCTTACAGGATAGGGAGTTCATTGTCCAAGAGGGAACTATATCCAGGGAATGATGTTCCCCCATGGAGAGTTCCCACAACACAAACTGATTAGAACTTAAATCTGTCTATGTAGCACTCCAGCATTTCTCCAGAAAGATCAGGCAAAAACATGTTTTGATATGCATGGTCAGTATCACACTGAGCTCTTATTTTTCCCACCAAGGAGACAAAGATCACAGTTGGTACACAAAGAGGCAATATAATTCTTATGTGTAGAAAAAACTATTGGCTCAAGGGGAATTTGTTTTGAAGCACCCAGAACCAACTGGGTTCAAGGAAATTGCATTCAGTTCCCTAGCAAATAATTTGCTTCTCTCAAAAAACAGTAAGTCGTAAGTCTCATGTTTTTTTCTTGATTCCAACTCAAACTCTGAGCAGCCACTATGGGTGCTTCTCTTCCTCTTTGACAGAATAGGCTCCCAAGTATCTTCCCATAATTTCTGCTAATTGGAAGGGTGCTGAAGAGAATCAGAAGTGACTCAGCATTTAGGCCATGTCATTGGTCCTCCCAGTATCTTGCCACCTACTCCAGCAGTTTTCCACATGAAGCCTAAATTGCTGCAACTAGCTGGTTGGTTGTTGGGAAATATCTAACTTAACATTAGAGTATCCTGAATCATTAATTTAGGATATCCTGAATTATTAATAAGAGGTATTCTCTGATCCAAAAACATATGAGACCCATTGGGGACCTTTATTTGTTAATGCCGAATGCAAGGCAGTTGCCTTACACAAGTAGTTTCCTTTTTCCAACATGGATTGTAGATGGGGCTTTCAACCAGATATCTTGTGTAGACAAACCATGGCATTATCCTTCGTCTTTACATAACTAGGTAAGCATTGCCTTGGATCTCATTCTACTGTCAAATACTCAGAGGGAATTCAAAGAGTTCTTCATTTCTTAAACCGCCTAGGTATACAAATATTTATGGTGGAACCTACTTACTGTTCTCAAAGACCTGAGTGCTATACCATTCATATCTCTGGATTCCTTTTCTCTTGGTTTGATGTCTCTGAAGGCTCTGTTTTTCATAGCTATCATTTTGGCCAGGTAGTTCTCCAGGCTGGTAGTCCACTCAGTTTCCAAGAATGTATGTGTCTTTCATAAGGACTTCTATAGTGATTATTTTGAAACAGGATCCTTCTCTCATTTTCTAAAGTTAATAAGATCTTTCAACAGCTTATCTTCTCCTTGTTTTGTCCCAATCTGTCCTATCACTGACAGGCTGAATGAAAAAGAGACTTTAGCCATGTGATTTTCCTGCCTTCTTGGACAGTAGATGAATTTAACCCATTCTTTATACCAAATCAGAAGAAACTTTCATAAATAGTGATCAGTGCTTGATCTTGTGTTGGCAAAACTGTCACTATTTCAGACTTCAGCATGGACCATGGTTGTTTGCTTTCTGCATTAGTTTGCAAACTCAGGCTGTCTAACTCTGGTACTGTATGTACAGGAATAGGGGGGACATTTGTTAGAAACAGCTTGTCAAATAGAAAGATGTTTGACTATCCCATCCGAACTATGAAACCAAAAGAAAAGGATTGACTTACATCTTCTTTAGAGGTATTGAAATGAAATGAAATGAAATGAAATGAAATGAAATACTGTTTGGTGAATGACCAGCAAAATCTTTTAGGGGCTGTAAATCCTAAATGTTGTGTTTTATTCCTTCTAGTACTTTTGTC